CAGATCAAGCTTCTCAATTCTCTTATTTTAAAGGCACTTATGCTTCTCAAATTATTTTTCTGGCTTTTCCCTGCACCCTTATAAAAATGTTTAACAAGCTTTTTGAAATGAGACCACCACATCAAGATTCATTAGTCTTATCTCGATCTGGACAGTGACAGACTATGGACTATAATTTCCACTTCGGAACTACTCTCTCCTTTATGATTATTTCCTTCACCATTCTTCACAGTCCTTCCTCTACTTTCACTTTCTTTCATGCTTCATCTTGTTTCTTTTTTACCTCAATTTACCTCTGAACATTCCTCAGTATGCTTTATGTAGCTATGTCTCTCCTCACAGCCCAACACAAAGAATGGAAAACCCCAACAAAGCAGCATGCTAATTTCTTTCTGGAGCATAATGTGATATTTAGAAGTTATCTCAGTTCAGAATTACTTTTATGTTCTGTATCTTTCTTGTATCTATTTTACATCCATTTTAGAATCATAGAATCATAGAATCATAGAATGGTTAGGGCTGGAAGGGACCTTCAAAGGTCATCTAGTCCAACCTCCCTGCAAGGAACAGGGATATCTCCAACTAGATCAGGTTGCTCAGGGCCTCATCCAACCTGGCCTTGAACGTCTCCAGGGATGGAGCATCCACCACCTCTCTGGGCAACCTGTTTTAATATATTTGAGGAAGCAATTGTCTCACCAAACCTAACCTCATTTTATTGTTAGGTCTTAGGCTCATGTTCCATATTTGACTGCCAGCAAATAGATATCCCCATCTTGAACTTTATCACATATCCCTTCCATAATCTAATCCACCTGGCACTCCAACACAGCTTTGGAATTTCACTAACATGCAATGAAAATGTCCATGACTGCTTTCCTTACAAATCTTTCCCTTCCCATATAGACAAGATGAAGACAAGATGGCTGCTCTATTGTATAGGAAGAGTAGTTGCAGATTTAGTTTCCATGAGTGTTATCTCTGACACCCATTTAGCTTCGGTGATAACTGTTAAAATGAAACATTAACATCTGATGACAAAACATTCCACTAGTATCTCATTTCTATCAACTGTCAGTACAGACAGACATTCATACAATAAAATTTAATACAGGTAGAGTTACGCTGCATGTGAAAAGATATAAGAACTAGCTAAATAAATGAACTCCTGTGAAGAGCTTGTTCTTTTTATTTTAATTTGCATTTCCAGCTGCAGCTAAAGAGTTTACAGGAGGCTGGGTTTTGCAAGACAGCCAGAATCAGGATTCTTGCTCATGGAAAAGTGTGACGGGGCAAAGCTTCCTTGCTTTAGAGTAAATATCAGATTTCATGGAATATTCCCATGACTGGAAGTTGTATTTTGATTGCACTCAATGGTTAAGGGAGCAAAGTACAACAAGAACGGAACAACAATAATAGTTTTTCTTTTATAAAATCTGTAACAAGTCACAGTGATGCAAAAAAAACATTAGAGAGAAAATAATGATCTCAAAATCTGTAACAAGTCACAGTGATGCAAAAAATCATTAGAGAGAAAATAATGATCTCGGATTGTTTTGCTGCACTCTAAGCAGTTCCTTATATCTGCAAAGACAGAAATAGAGCAGCAAGACTCAAGTCTAGATCCTTGGTATATAAGCTTAAAATCCAATTATAGAGTCTCAATTAACAATAATTTAACAATTTAGCTATATAGACACAAGCTGTATTAGAACACTCAGGAGTCCCTCATGAGTCAATCTGTCCATGTAGATTTATTTTACAAGTTGTGTAATGAATAGGTTTGAAATTCTTGTTCAATTGATCATGCAATCATCGAGAAGACTGGAAGGAAACTCAGTGATGGTACCCTGCAATGGTAGATTTGGAGGCACTGCCTCACCAGAAGTGTTGGTACTGATCCTTGAAATGTTACCAACTACCTGTTGTCAATGGAGAGAACAGGCATCTGGGAAGATCTGCAGGGGAAAATCTGATCTGCTTTATTTAAACCTTCATTCTACATTAATTGTATAACAAATTTAAACTGGTACAAGAATCAGGAGTTCTAAAAGTATCTGGATTTCTCTCCACAATCTAGGTGCCTAAATCTCGATTATAGAAGGGATGTTGTAGCATAAATACTGGTTTTCATTTTAATGTCTAATTCTTGAACTAGGCCAAGTGCTTAAGCTAAAATACAGGTAAGATTAGAAGCTAAGAAGTACCTCTGCAAGAGGCAGAAGAAATCACTGTTCACATGGGCTTTATGAGTAGTGAAATTTTTGGAAATTTCCTGTAAACATCCTCTGATTTGCAAGAAGACTTTGAGTCCCTTTATGTAACTTCAATGTATTTGTTAAGTCTGAATGATGGTTTCTCATATCTTGGATAATTTCCCGTTATTTTGGACATACAAAATATGTACTTTCTGAAATCTTCAGATGAAGATAAAAGATTTTATAATCATCAAAATGTTGTTCCTAGCAAGTTTTAGATCTGATCAAAATTTGCAGTGACCAATGTAGCAGAAACTCAGTTTTCTAAAGAAGTTGTTTTTTTCATTTTAACTGAGGTATCTGTTAATTTAAGTTCTAACTAATGGACTGTAGACAACTCCGAATTCTCTCAGAAATGTGGACTGAGGTATTTCAAATATCCCGTGGAAGGATTGGTCCTGCCTGGGAACTATATGGGCACACAGTAAGATAAGTAACATGAGGCTCCTATACTCTGAACAGAAAAGCCTGGGGAAAAAGTCATGCTCACTGAACGGCCAGAAATTCAGATTTTGAGATTATTAGATAAATTGGAGGCAATCTGAACTGAATTAGCCTGGGATGACCAGAGTCTTAATGGACTTTGGTTTCTTAGCTCCCACTGAGTATAACTGTCGTGTAAAATGCTAAAACTACAGTACCATTTCTTCTGGATTACTGCCTTTGAGACCTGGTTCATAAAAGGACACCGAAGTGTTAGGAACTCCCACATGTGTAAGGAGATGCAGAGAAATTTGCTGTTTTAGAAGAAAAATGGCTTAGAATGGGTTTGCTGCAGATGGCATTACCAAGCAAATGCAAACGATTGTATGTGTGTCTTCAACAATTTTTAACAATGCTGGTAGCTTTTTTCATCTGTGAATGTTCTCTAATTTGAATTTCACTTTCACTGTGGGGATTCGAGAAGCAAAATATTGATTACTTTGTGCAACATTTAGTCTGTGATAATTGAATTCAATCTTCTTAGAGATCATTGTCTCATAATCATTATTCAGTTACATTTTCCATTAATTAATTTTTGTCAAATTCTTTCTCTATTAAGACCTCGGCAATGTAGCTGCAGTACGCATTAACTGTCCAATGTACATAACAAGATACACTCAGATTAAAGGAGGAAAGCAGTCTGGAAAAGAAGCAGACAAAGAAATTGTAGAGCAAAACATCCATGAAAAGAAGAGAGTACTCCGGTTAGGCAGTAATGTTTTAGGGAAGACAGTAACAGAAGAAAGATTTGGAGAAGAGGTCCTCAGCAAGATTGATATAGAGAATAAAAAAGATGGAGAAAACCTCTTTTAGAGCATTAGATGTTGACCACAGTCTCAGTAATCACTAGACAAGCTCTATACATGCACTGCTGAAACGCTGTTATTATTAACCTTGATTGCATCAAAATACAGTAATCTATCGTAATCACTAGACAAGCTCTATACATGCACTGTTGAAACGCTGTTATTATTAATCTTGATTGCATCAAAATACAGTAATCTATTAGCAACACAACTATATTTACGTGATGGGAACACATCCCTTCATTAAAACATTTCCAGCCCTTGTGGATTTAGTCACCAACCTAATTTAACAAGCAAAATTTGCCTGCAATCCCAAAATAGATAAAACTCGATACCGCGATCCCGGACGAACGGGAGGCCCCGAGACAGAGCGAGAGAGAGAGGGAAAACACTCTGAGCACCCGAAAGTGAGAGTCCCGGAAGGGCAAAAGCCCTTTTTTCCGGCTGACCCTGACTCTTATACTGGGCATGACGCTGCATGATATGGAATACTAATTGGCCAATTTGGCCTTCAATCTTAAGTTCAGGTACAAATTGTAAGGAGAGTCGTGGACCCCTTGTCCCTGCCATGCTCCCCCCTTATCCTGTTGTGCTCCTGCACACTGGCAAGAACCTGGCAGACTGAAAAAGTCCTTGAGACCTCAGTGCCAACTATAAACATCAGTGCACTATCAGCATTCTTCTCAGAGTGAGCCTCTGAGTAAAACCAAAACACGGAGCTCTTCTAGCTGCTAAAAGAAGAGCTAATCCTGGTCCCAGCTAAAACCAGGACAAAGATAAAAAAGATGGAGAAAACCTCTTTTAGAGCTTTAGATGTTGACCACAGTCTCAGTAATCACTAGACAAGCTCTATACATGCACTGTTGAAACGCTGTTATTATTAATCTTGATTGCATCAAAATACAGTAATCTATTAGCAACACAACTATATTTACGTGATGGGAACACATCCCTTCATTAAAACATTTCCAGCCCTTGTGGATTTAGTCACCAACCTAATTTAACAAGCAAAATTTGCTCATCTGGCAAATCTTACTGCTTATGGGTTTGTCTATGAGCTAGTTTCCAAACTAAAGTATTGCCACAGCTGTCTGGTGTTTATACTGTTTGTTTATTTTATTAAAGGGATTATTGGGAGCTATTCAGTCTTCTCCTCATCAACCTCCTTTTAAAAATGACAACAGTATAAAATGAGAACTGTTAAGATCCATGAAATCTATCACTTGCACATACAGCTATCATGCTACATGCTCTGAAACAGCACAGGTTAATAAAACGCATGTAGTATCTGTTCTCACGCATTACTTGGGTCCAAAAACTCCTGCTCTTTTCACAGTGATAATCCTGAGGTCTCTGAACCACCATAGGAATTATCTGTCTAGTAATACCATTCTCAGGTAAGTTCAGGACACTGTCAGAAACAAAGAAAAAGGAGGCAAAAAAAAAGCATTACCTGATAGTTTTGATCATGCTGAGCCCCATTTCAACACAGCAGTGAGCATGGTCCTGGCGAGGTTCTGGAAGCCCCGACACGCAGTAGTAACAGTCCCCCAGGATCTTTATTCTGAGACAATGATGTTCCTACGTGTAAAAGCATCAAAGAGAAAGCAAAGATTTGTGGGTATGTTTCCATAATTTTAAGATGAATGCAAAAGTAGATGAAAAAAACACTGAAAAAATAATTAAAACTTGTTGCTGCACGTTTCCTGCTTGTGATCAGTACAATCTTGATTTTACATTTTCATTAAAAAAGGATGCAGTGATTTTTGTGTTATGCTAGTCAAAGCTGTCCTTGCTGATGGTGAGAAAGGTTTCATCAGTTAGGCTGGAAGCTAGGCCAAAGATTCAGAAATGCCAGCTGAGATAATGAATAACCCATTTTAGATTATATTTCTCCAGGGCATCATTTCTGTCCCCTTTTTACACTAAAAATAAATGAAAAACCTGTTTCCTCCCACTGATAATCCCTTCCTACCTAAAGTTTCCACTGTCACACTGAAGTATTCCCAACATCTCTAGGAACTGCTCAAGTATATACAAGTCAAAGATACCAAAAAGAAGGCGTTTTGCATTAGTCTGGTACTGTGGAGAAAGGACATTTATTTATTTGACATCCACCTAGAGATATTCTCCACCCTAGGAGCAAATACTGAATTTCTTTACTTAAACACATGTTAACAGTATCTTTATAGACTGAAACAGCATATTACTGAGTGATCGGACCATGATTTTAGGGAACAGAAATACCTGAGCTGCCAAAGGTTTTTCAGTTCCTAGGCAAAGAAAACAAGCGAGTTCAAGATTAGCTGCAAACTTGCCCAATGTATTCTGCTGACTTGGCGCTCACAGGTGACAACCAATGCACAGGAACCGAGACTACGATAATTTGATGACAGAGCTGCAGGTGTCTAAGGGTGAACAGTATTAAATGTTGAGTCAGGAAAGTATTTTTATGATGGAGAATCATTGAAACAGTAAGTGCAGTAGTGGCACTCAATCAGTAAAAGACGCGATGATGGGACATTTAAATAAAGACCAGTCAGTACTGGGGAGCAGGATAATGATTTTCAAAACTGGTTCATTAGATGACAGTAAAAATTTGCCTGTGGTGTTTATTTCCATTTTTCTCTTTCTCTCTGGCAACCTGTGGTAGAAGCTGCTCTAATTAAAGGAGCGGGGATACACTAAACCCACTTGGGAAGAGAGAACTTTAAGTAGGACATAGGAGCAAATGTGAATGCTGACTGTGTCTCAGGAGTTGAGTACTGGCCAAATGAATGGGACTCCAGGTTATTATTCAAGATTTTGCCTAGGAAGAATGAGGCTTTGTAGTCAACCTCAGACAAGTCTTTACAAATCTTTGAGTGGCAAAAGAATCTACACACTTGTACCCAAAGCTTTTGCAGAAGTCAGCTGAAGCTTTAAGCATGCCAGAGAGGGTAAAATCTGCTCTGGGCACAGGGCCAAAGTAGGCTGATTCACCCTGGAATCTCCTTAAACATCAGTAGGAGCTGACTGTGTTTGAAGCTTTGGTTAAGTCTCCAGCTAATACTATTGCTGGCCCTCAGAGTGCCAGCTCTGCCCAAGTTTTTCAAGGAAATTCAAGACTAAAGTCAGACTTCTGAAATGTCAACATTCATGTGTAACTCTCCTCTTCCCTCATCCCCTTCTCTTCAGTCTCTCTGCAGACTCACACAAGTGAGCACTGGGTATTTTTCATGTGGTTGCAACTGAAAACGTACATCTTAAAATCCATCAAATTTTTTTTTCCGCGTTTCCTCCTCAAGGGCAAGAATGAGAGATTTGATTTTACCACACTTTCCATCTAATTTTTTTCTATAGCATGAAACTAGGCAACAGTAAACCTCATTAACAAGTAGTGAGGATTCATCAGAATAAATCAGTGCATGTTAAACTGTTAGTGGGCTTCCTTAAGCTTCTCTCTGTATTCCTTGGATAGAAGAAATGCAAAGAGATAAAGATATTATAAAACACAGATTCTAAAGTACTTTGCTTTTAGTAATAGTGCCATTAAGTTGATTATATTCTAATTGTCATTTGCTTTTATATCCACAAAGTAAAAGGAGCATTTATAACATCGTATGAGTTCGGCTAATGTGGAGTAAAGCAAAAGACAGCACTTTAAGACCATTCAAACCCACATTACATTACAAGTGATAACCTCATGGTATAATACAGGAAAAAAAAAAAAAAGGGAAAACCAAACAATTTCCAGAAAAGAAAGAAATGTTTCAAGTAGTATCATATTTTAGTATTATTACATTTTTACATGCAACATTCATCATGTAGTTTTGCACCTATGGTACCTGCCCATCTGATGATGTGGGAATCCCTTGTTAAGTGAGCATCTAATTCAGCACAGTTAGAGAACACAGTCTGCAACAGAAAAAGACCTCAGCTGCTCTGTTCTTAATGACTCATTTAAACTGGCTGAAGTGCTGATTCCATTGAAGACAGATGAGACCTCTGCCACCTGGCTGCATGTTTCCTCTTTCGCTGAAAATCAGAACAAGGCAGACCACTTCAAAAAGACGTGATTTTTATAAGAATAAGTGACAAGAATCTTAATGCCTAACAAGACCTGCTAATGCGGGTTTGATGTATGCAAATAGGAGTGCATGTGTGTGTCATAGGAGATCGGTTCAGGTGCACATGAATGTGTGCTTTTTCTTGTCATGATACGTCGTCATCTCTACGCTCGTTTGCCAAAGCTCAGGAAGTCATCTATGGAGTGAGATATCCAAATGGAGATGACTATATATAGGTGTCCGTATGTCAGCCAGCAGTCAAAACTGTCATTACAGTCAAAGGAGAGCCAGGCAATGCAGTCAGGGAAGCCTAGAGACCGATCCAGCTCACAGCTACAGCAGTTGGCTGGGCTTCATTTCAATTGTCTACACATAAGCTTATGGTGCATCGGTAAGACCCCTGGGTATGTGAGGCACCCACACAGGAATAACAGACATGACATAAGACCTATGTCCCACTGGAGCAGTGCAGGGGCCAGGCAGGGTCTCTCTATTGGCACAAGAAGCCACAAAGAGCACTTAAATGACTCCTCCTCTTCCTTATTTTTCCTGTTAGTCAAATCATTATGACTGTTAAACAACTGTGTTACAGTCTAACTATATTGCCCTTACTGTTTTTATTCTTCTCTTATTATTCCCATCATACTTATTTCAAAAGTAAATTATGGATTTTTTATCACCGGAAATGTTTCAGCAAGAAGATAATTCAACAGCTGCCAGGAAGGAGGGCTAATGGTATTTGCCTTTGGCAGAGGAGGGCTGCGTGATCTCCTGAGATGCCCTCTGATGACTCTGTAGTTTAATCACATCTACAGTTGAGTTTAGATGCTTTGTCAGGCTGGTTGTATTAGTACATTAAGGTTAGGTTCATGGCTCATATGGGTAGCCATGCTGTATTTGTAAATAGGAAACTGAGTTTTGTGAGATAGGAGGCTGAGTTTTGTAAGTGAAGTGCCTACCTACTTTTCAGCAGTACAAAATGATACTAACAGCATTCAAGATTTTCCTCACACTACAGCTCAAGCCCACTTCCTAACGCCATCTCACTGCAATGGTATCTAAGAGTTGCAAGCTGATATTAAAAGAAAATGAATGTAAAATATATAGGAAGAAAATGTAAAATGAATAAATTATTTAAATAAAAGAAAATGGCCATACGGGAGCTTTGATGCAACAGATATTACATGACAGTGTTAAATCCTTACACCGTTGTCAGGCGGCTACGAATTTCTCTTTATTTTACTCTATTCCTCTTCCTCTTTCGATAACCAATTCCAGAAGTTGTCCTTGGCCATGTAAATGACAGCTGATATTGTACAGACTTTCACATTAGTATCTATCAGCCTCATACCCCTCCCCATACTCACTCATTAATGCCATTTACTGAAGGTATCGATTAATTTCTCAGCATGTCACAAATAGGGGCTACTTTTCGCCTTATTTGCAGCTTCTGATTTGCTACAAGTGAAAGATTGAGGGACCTGATTCTGCCAAGATCAATTGAAATCAGTAGAAATATTGCCTGGGGATATTGAGCAGACTCAAACACTCAACTGTTAATAATAATAATTTTAGGTGAATTCAGTAGCAATCTATAAGAAATCTTTTTCCCAATCACCTTAATCCAAAGCAAAAGAAAATATGCAGATTTTTCATAAATAATTACCTCATTCATGTGAATGATTTATGTTTAAGCTTATTAAATACATCCTTAGTGACTGGAACGGAAGCAAAACAAATTGGCATAAAGTGGAGCTGAAGAAATGAGTTGCTCAAATATCAAGTTACTGAAAGACACAGTCAGAAACCTCATTAATATTTCTTGTTTCCTTGGGCTAAATTTCTGACGAGGGGAAAAAAGTGAATGTGTTTTATAAGTTATGCTGCTTTTTCAATTCTGCCTGTGGTGAATTAATCACTTCAGCTACTTTTGAAGAGAATCCCGTAGGCTAGCAAACAGCCCACAGAAGAGTTCTCATTCGTGATTTTTATAATTTCAAGGTAAAATTTTAGAACATAGTGGATGAGAAATTACTGAGGCTGAACTGTAGAACAAAGAGATCATACATAGAAATCTCCTTTTAAAAGGTGGCCAGAGTGGGAGGAGGCAGGACTTGGCCTTTGTGTACAATGGCTCAGTTCCCGAACATTTGCCAAAGGTATAGGAAACCTAGATAAAAGGCCTTTCTCAGCATGAATGGGGTCTAGGCCAAAATTCTTAATCAGCAGGCTGTTTTGGGGTGGGCTGGAGAGAGAGGTCCATCCAAATTCCTCCTATTGAAGCTCTGTTGCTCTGGAAAATAGAGCTGGGACCGTGACAGAGCCAGATGGAGGGAAGTTCTGAAGTCCAGTGATGTAGGTAGAAAGGAGGACCAGGTTTGGGTCACAACTGCAAGGAGTGTTTCTACTTTTTGTACACATAAAGGGAAAAATGCTGCAATCTTTCATCATCTGTCTTTCACCAGGGAATAGTTAAATGTAGCCCTATATTAAATTCTTTTTACATAGTTTAACAGATCACGTAAGGAATGC